TTGAATGACTAAACCGAGACTGTGCAATAAGTCACTGAAAGATCAGCAAATAGCATCTAATGAGGTCACACCACTTTTAAGCTTTAAAAATGGTATTTTTATGTTATATTAGGAAGAGAATTAGAGTTGTTTTATGTTTAGTATGAAAAGTTTAGAGAAAAGTAGTTCATAGGCGAGTAGCTATTACCACACTATAATAATTTACAAGCCCACAATATGACAAAATTTGGTAGTCACCTTGGAGACCTTTGCAACATAATTTAAATGTTTATATGCCGTGGTAATGGAAGGATAAGACAGCAAAACCACTGTTGACACATGCATCATTTCTCCAGTATTTTTTCCATCCGGACATTCAAAGCTGACCAAATTTACGAGGAGCTGAAGGCAGGAGCTTGCAGTAGGAATTGTCAAGCAGCGTTATTATCTAGGGTAGCAGCTTTTCTGCCTGTGACAGGTAGCAGCACCACCGTGGGAAGATGAGTGCTCATTCTCCTTGGTCCTTCAGTGTTTCGGTAACTGAATTGTTGCAAGCATCACCACTAATTTACAAATGGAAAAGACACATCGGGTTACTACAACTACTGGGGGATGAAAATGAGTAACAGACGAAACAGACGTAGCAATAAGTTATCAGGGGATAGGAGATAAGAGATAGGATAGGAGGTGTCCTTTGTAGTTTCCATGCGAGGTGGAGGGAAGAGAATGAGCTGAGGGACCGTCCCCATGCATTGGAGAGTGCGTGCTTGTGTCGGTGTGACTCACTTCATAAACAGCACATAGTCTTGTCAGTCACAAGGAGAACAGCATTCTGCTGTCGGGAAATTTAGTCTTAGTCTTGTCTGTATTGGTGGAAGCTCTACCTCAGTATGCCTTAGAAGTAGTGTGTCTGTTACAGGGCGTATATAATTTGGGTTGTTTTTTTTGGTTTTGTTTTTTTTTGTTTGCTTGTTTCTTTGGTTGGTTTGGTTTTTTGTTCTGCTTTTTACCAGAATGATGCTTGTTTTTCCCCTTGGAAAGCATGGCAACTTCATAGCTTTTGCTGACTTATTTTGAATACAGCCATTATTTGGACAGTTTTATAAAGACAAAGTTATGGTGTGAACTGCTGTCAGTGGGGAGCCCAGCATAATAATCAGTGTACTCTGGTACAGGACTTCTTTCAGTCAGGGTCTTAATCTTGTTCCAGCCTTGTCTCTGAAGCGGAGATGCCCGTCAGCTCATTCCTTAGTCTTTCCTTTTCACCATAGGAAGAAGCTGAGTAGTACTAGATACAAGCCAGACAAGTGATACACAACAATATTCTTGATGCATCTTGATCCCATTGTTCTTTCCTTGACTGTCAGTCAAGATAGTGCCTTCATACCTATGCAAGGTATGTGAACCTTTCCCTCCTTTTGTTTCCAAGCTTTACTTCGTATAACTCTGCCAAAGATGTTTTTATTAAAACGAAGACTTAGCATTTTGCTTGTGCATACCTGAATACTGAAAAGACTCCTTAAAATGAAAGTACTGAATTTGGTTTATATCAAAATACAGAATGTTCATTTTATCTTCAATGAGTCTGACGATTTTCAGAATAAACAATAATAAAAAAATTGTGCAACTGAACCACGGGCTTAACTTGAAACATGAGTGCCTGCCTGATAGCCCAACAGACATGATGAATGATGATGAGGGTAGTTGTTGTAAATGTGTCCTATAGTTCTTAAGTATTTACTGTCATCACTTCAAGAAACTAATAGTGTGTATGCAGAAAGGTGGTTTTTACCTGTACTGTACTGCAGTGTTGTGGAAGCTGAGCTGTTTAGCAGATTGAATGGCAGTGCTAAAATTATATATGTCTATATATAAATATATATATATGTATAAAGGCCCACTCACATACATCATCAACTTGAAAATCTAATAATGCATCACAGATACCATCTTACTTTTTTGTAGTAAATTAGTTTTGTAAATGAGCAACGTGTTTTAAAAAGAGAATTCAAGGATGACTTAGAGATTCTTTTTAGAGGCATGTTATGATATTTTGCTTGCACTTTGCTTACTCTAGAGTTGATTACTTCTGGATAAATGATGTGATAGTTGATAGTGATGCTTGAGTGCCATATGCATGTTTGAGGGGGGTGGAGGATGTAGATAATTTTTAAAAGTAGCTTCTGAAAACAAATGCCTTTTATAATTTAGCTGTCGTTTCCATTGGGTGGTGTCCTACTGTAGTAGCCCTCTAAGTTTGTTTGAATTTGTGCATTTTCTTGGTCTAACTAAGCGTTTAGATCATGCCTATCGCCATAGTAACTGCACACCTCTTAAGTCTAAATTCTGCGACATGAGATCACTGCAAGTCTTGCTCAAAAGAGGTCTGAGTTACCTCACTTCAAAAGAAAAAGTAGGGAGGACTGTAATATTGTCTTTCCCTTTAACTTGAATCCCTACACAATGGGATTAAATCCAGTGCTTGTCTACACTTGTGTCTTTATTCTAATTTTATATGTAGCAGCTTTATGAAACGCAAATAACTTGTTATATAAAATGCCGCTCTGAACAGTGTGATTTATCTTTATATATACTTCTTAAAATAGACAATTCCATAGTCTATAAACAGAACACATTTGTCTGTAATCTTGCTGCACTTTTTACTGTCCTGTAGGTCATTTTCAACTGCACTGTATTGTTATAAAAGTTTTTATCACTGCTATGGAGAATCCTATGGACCTGATTAAATGTTTCTTTCTATTCATGGCATTCAGGTCTAAGTGGTACGCACTGTCAAAAAATCACAGTTTTATTGTCGTCTATAAACAGAACACATTTGTCTGTAATCTTGCTGCACTTTTTACTGTCCTGTAGGTCATTTTCAACTGCACTGTATTGTTATAAAAGTTTTTATCACTGCTATGGAGAATCCTATGGACCTGATTAAATGTTTCTTTCTATTCATGGCATTCAGGTCTAAGTGGTACGCACTGTCAAAAAATCACAGTTTTATTGTCCTTTTAATGATTTATTGATCCTCGTCTGTGCTCTGGTGTTGTTTCATTTCTGAAACTTAATGGACCTGACCCTGGACTTTCTTTGTACAGCCTGTTAAATGTGAATGCTGCTTCTTATTTTGCCTTGTTTCTGTTTTGTTGGTTTGTTACTAATCCTGCAGTGCTTGTGGTCTTCTGTATGAAAAGTGTTTTGTATACATGTAACAATGTTTAGTAAATTAATATAATGCACAAATGAACAGTTTTCTCCTTGTGGAATGCCATCATATGTACTCATGTTACCTGAAAAGAAACCAAACATATGAGTGTACTCAGATGCAGAGAGGCAGCTTGGTTTTGTAAATGTGAGGTCCCCAGGCACAAACCTCGATGCAAATACAGGTGCACAGGCAGTGCTAGAGCCAGTGTAGTGAATCCAGTGCATCTGGGGTGTATTGAACCTGCTCTGTGCACACTGCGCATCCAACTTGTGTGTTGTACGTGCACAGCAGGCTGCCAGATGTTTCAGAAGGCACCAATAAATGGCTGAAATAATCTCTTTTTTATATGGACAAAATTCCTTATCAGTGTTGACGATATCTGCAGCCAATTCTCTGTAGGTAAAATTTCATCCCTTCTGTTTCTGTCTATGCTTGTGTTCCTCCTGCCTTGGAAATGGCTTTTAATTCTGAGCCGTTTTATATTTGCTTGATCTCCAGCATGGTGTTTGGCTCAGAGAGGCTTCTTCAGCTGAGCTGTGGGCTTGACAATGAAAGCACGATGTTGACATCACTTCAGGTTTCTTACTGCTGTAAACAATGGCTAATGGCGTGGGAGAACGCAAATTACATACCTCGCTTGCTGACTGGAGCAAGTTTGGGATTTGCTGTTAGACCCCAGAAAGTAATTGCTGCCACATGTGGTTATACTGGGTTCCCTGGGATGAAGGTGGAAGAGGGGTTGAGAAGTTCTAGGTAATGAAGAGAACTGAGTGATCTGGTGCAGGGATGTTTAGCTATAGGAGCTCCTGAATCACATCGGACCTAATAACCAGATGGTTTTATGTATGGTCCCTCTGCCTGTGAAGCAGCTTGCTTACTAATGGGTGTATTTAAGGCACCTATGGAAATTACAGGTGTGCGTTTAGGTAGAATATTTTCTCACCTATTTTCATCTAAGTTGGAAGAATTCCGTTTGCTACCTGGCTCTAAGTTAGTATGCAAGCTATGCAAAATAAGGTCGTAAATTACCAACATTGTGAAATGGGTTTTAAGGTAGATGACTGGGGGTTCTCCCCTCCCCACTAGATATTACCATTATTACTATATTCTGAAAATAGCAAAAACTTTCCTGAAATTCTGTCTTCTACGGAACATACTGTGGGCAATGTCCTTCATGTAAGAAATGCCATCGAAGAATATGACACTTCTTGTGTGAACAGCATTTTCTTGTGAAAACAAAAAGTTGTTGCAATGACAATTATGGGTGAGGCTTCTTCAAAGAAGGGCAAAAATGTTTTGGGAGTGTGATGAATGAGAAGGGACACTTTCCTTGTTCTTTTGGAAAGGTGAGGAAATAAGCTAGAGCCAGTGCACAATCCGCGTTCTTGTGAGGAAGTAGTGGCAGTTCCAGATTTGGTGTCCCGTGCTGGCATCTAAGAAAAATTTTAGGTGAAAAAACGCAAGGGAGAAAGAACTACAGGCACCCCACTACAGTCACACTATTGTATTTGACTGTAGAAGCTGCTTAGGGAATTATATTCTGTTGTTTTGTGTGTGGGAGCTTAAGAACAATAACTTACGATAAGTATCATGAAAGCTATTACCTTGATACACAGGGGAATATGTTAAGGATACAGTTTCAACTTCAATCCATGTTTCATAACTAATAGCTTAATACACATCTTCCTAGGCTGGCAATGCTTTGGGCTGTGTTTAAAAAATAAGATTTTTTTTTTTTTTAATTTTATATATCTATTTTATTTAAAAGAGTTTCTGAACATTTTTTTCTTGTTCTAATTTGCAGCATTACTTTACTGTTCTTTTTGGCCATGAAGGGCAGAAGCCACTGGAGCTCCGTTGCGAGGACGAAGTTGATGGAGATGAATGGGTAGAAGCTATTCACCAAGCTAGGTATGAAACCTGATTTTTAATCCTCAGCTCCATTTTATTGTAAATAAATTGATAATAATTTGAAAATCTAAATTCACTGTCTAAATAGAAATAAATGTTACAGTGCATTACATGCATATTGCTTGCAATTCATGGGTATGTTATAGGAAAAAATGCCTTTATCATTCATGCTTATATCACTGTATTTTATCATTCACGAGTGATTGTGTTCCAGTTGAAATTAGTTCAAGAAAAATACTCTTTTATTGGAAACGATCCCTAGGATTAGTCCTCTGTTAGGGGCAAAATGTGTTATATGAATGAAGAAATAGGTGATATGCAAAATGAATAAATGTTTCTTAAAAAGCTCATATATAGAAATAAATGTAAGAAAGACGAGGTCAAACCATTATGATGATAAAGTGCCACAAATAAAATTTCGACTTTAAAGCTGAAGTCCTGAACAACGATCAGTCTTGTGAAAAGGGACATGGTAGGACTTCCAGCCATGGAGTAATCTTCCCCTGAGAAGAGGTCTGCATGGCGAATAGGCAAGGTTTACACCCTAATCTAAATGAAAATCATCTAACTGAAGGTCTGTGAAATGGTTTGCGGAGGCAAATGTCTTTGCTGAAATGCACTTTCTCCAGCCTCCTCTCATAGACACTCACCTCAGCTAATCTACAGTGCCATGGTAACGCACGAGGAACCAGGCAGTTTCTGAGTTGCTTAGGACATGAGCCATGTAAACAGAAGTGATTTTGCTTTATAACTAAAAATGAACACCACCAGCTAGTAGTTTTTAATTTAGAACTTGTAAAATGAGGCCCTGAAGCTGCAGGTCTTGTGTCAGCTGGGCATCCAGTGTTTGAATCTGCATCCTGTTCATAGCATTGGTACCTAACTGAACAGGGTTTCCTGCTTTCTTGGAAAGCACCTGCTGGGTTGTGGTATTAGGTGAACACATTATTTCACATCTTGAGAAGCTATGAGGCTTTGAACTGTCAGCCCATCCCAGGAGAGCATGTCCACCAGCGGGCAGTCCCGTATTGCTGAGGGAGGAAGAGAGAAGGAAGATCTTCACTTTGTGTCTGGATCTGGGTCCATTTCTTTTGTGGAGTACGACTGAAAGCAAGTGAAGAAAGGGGCATGACTTTTTGCCTTGTGGTAAGGGCATTCAGGGGAAGCAGGATCCTACAGTTCCCTGTTCTCAGGATAATTTTCTTCTTGTCCATTGCCTGGTGTAAAAGACATGTAAGCAAGAAGAGTTTCATAACACTGAGTTAAAATTTCTCTCTGGGTAGTTCAGTCCATAAATGTATCACACATGAATTTTCAAGGCAGAACTTAACAGAAAATTAAGCCAACGTTAAACAACACACAGTTGAAAATACTGAGAACTTAAACTTGCTAAGAAGAAGTTAGTCATGAGGTTCGAGGTCGGGGTGGTTGAATTTTGACTCCACCAGAAAGTTATCACTGCAGCCTTCAGAAGATAACTGGGTCTCTGTTGCAAGCAAGATCAGTCTTTGTATCTCTGTCCCTTTTGCTATTTGAATTTTTTCCCCTTTATTTGTGCCTATCTGAAATGACAGTCCTAATAATACCAAACTATGGACACCACTGTGAAGGATATTCTCAGGACCCTATATCATTTGGGGGATTTTCTTAATCTACTTTTCTGCATAGGTCTCTAAATTTCTTGGGGAAATTTTTCAGGAACTGGGATGTGGCTTTTTTTTTCCCTAGTAATCTTTTCTTGAAGAAAATATCAACAAGTGACAAAAAATTTTCTGAAATTTACTTGCTAAACATAGAGTGTTGTACACTACTGTGGTTACCTCATTGTTCTGATGTTTTTCTACTTCACCAGAAGCTGCTTTTATTTGCTTTACATTGTGTCTAGCAAAACAACTTGGAGTTGCATAATTAGTTACTTAACCATTGGGTCTTTTACCAAAGATACATAACAAAGAAGTGAAAATAATAGTTTTAGACTATTGCATAAGATTTTTCTTGCCAACTTAATTAAACAAAATAGAACAGATTTGCTTCAGGGATTAAATTTTGCCTGCGTCATGATTTGGACTTTTTTCCTTGAGTTCATCTGTCTTTTTGACAAACGGGACAGCTTTGACAAACTTCTTCCGTGTCACTGTTCATTTGAGGCTAGCCTAAGACATTTCTGACCCTTCTCTCAGGTTTTTGTTTTGAATTGCTAAATGACATTTTGTGTAGCCCTTTGAAGATACTTTATTGTAGTATCTCAGGTGTCTTAGGTAAAAATTCTAGGAGGTATTGAGAACATTCCCACTACCCTTAAATTGAAAACAGGTCTGGGAACATCCTGTTCTGTGTCATATGTTGGCATTTGCGAAATGGAAATACTTAATTGCTTTCCGGAGGGTCTCATCCTCATAAGTAGCTATGGTAATCCATGTTTTAGCTGAGACCAAGTAGTTGAGGTTTTTTTCTTCTGTCCTTTTTTTTCACCCCCTTTTCTTAGATGGACGTATGCAAAATCTAATTTTGGATTGCTTTTTGTGACTTTTTGCCAAATACATGTTTGCAGCCATCAAAATCTCTTCCATGTTTTATTTATTTTACAAGTTATAAACAGACTGTTGAAAAAATAACACGGTCTCACTGCACCCCATGTCCCACTCTAGATAAATAGGTATTTTATTTGGATGCAAGTTCATAATTAAAGGATTTTCTGCTGTGGCATTGTCCATTGTTTCTTGGAAGATTTCACTGTGGGTGGGATGCTACTGCTTATCATTTGGGGGGTACTGTGCACACTCCTCGAGAGCTGACAGGCTCTTGCATGCTGCAGCTAGATGCTGCATTGCTTATGTTCCTGTCCGTAGTGCCCTCTCCTCATTTGAGAGAGATTGTTTTGTGAGCTTGCAATGGGAGGTGCAATTCAATATATTTTAATGGGACTCCATTATGAGCTCCACATGCATACCTACTTCTCATCTATTTCTATTTTATTTGAATTCTCAATGTTTTGAGTTCTCAGTAATATCCAGGGTGGCAGAGTAAGGTTTGCTTCTTCTGAGTTACATTTCTGGGCTGGAGGATTTGTTCTTGGCAAATCCTAATTCCTCTGTCAGTGACTGCATGTGGAAGTCCTGTTTTGGGCTTTATTCCAGAACTCAGTCTCTTAGGAAAAAAAATCTGTTTCACCCTCACTACACTGAGGTGGACTTTTCACCCTCTCTTACAAATTCTTCTATGGTTTTAATTTTTTTTTGCATTTAACTCAAAAGCATTTATGCTTCTTTTCTTTATATGGATGCACTACTAATCAAATTTCTTGGCCTTTTCTACTTTAGCTTATTGGAAAGTCTTAAAGTAGGTGCTTCAGGCTGTAGTTTCATGTATGCTTTAGTCCTGCATAAACCCACATTGCCGCTGAAGGAAGCAGTTGTCATTCTCATAAGTCAGCCATTCATTCCCACACCTTTACCAGCCCTTCTCTCATGCAGGCACAAGTGTGAACTTAATTGGGAAACTGATTTGCCCTAAAAGGAATTATGTTTTGTTTATTTTTTGCCAGCTTAGTTTTAATCCTTCTCATTCCTCCGGGTCTGTTCACTGCACATCCATGTAACACACCTGTGTTCACTGCACAAGGGAGAGGGAAGCACGTGGGTGGGATGTGGGAGAGCACAAGTGCTATGTGGGAGGGAAAGTGGGAGTGCCTCTTTCAGCTAGGTCGCTGTTTAAAGTGCATGAGCAACTACTGCCCTCCAACTGGCAATTTAAAAAAAAAAAAAAAAAGGCTTGCTCTCAGATTTGTTGACACACCACTTGCTGGTGCAGGGTGTGTTTCACATAGTATTTTGTAGGCAGTTGTGAGCTCAGTATGGTAGCTCAGAGCTGCCTGGAAGCTCAGGGCAAATGCCTTGCTAGTAATGCCTCGCTGTTGGAGAAACTGTATTAGCTGAGGCTTGGTGCTATAATAACCAAAATTTTGTATTTTCCAGTTGACTGGGAATGAGGCAGAGAGAATTTGAGTAATGTTCAAAACACGGGCAAAGCAATCTCATATCTGCCTTCCAAATAACGTCTGGCTAGATCCACAGAACAAAGTGGTAGGGGTTGCCAGAGCCGGTAGCTTGATAGAGGTGAGGCTGCCGCTGCTCCCTGTACCCAGGTTGAACCAGAAGTGAGCCTGGGCATGTATTTCCAACTCAAATGAACACCCATATGTACATACAAACACAGCTGGCTGCACAGATCAGCACAGACAGAAGCATTCAGCACTCTCACAGGCACAGACAACACCAGCAGCCTCATCCTGTTCCCCTCTCTGATCAGTATGAATGTATGTTAGTGGAAAAATACATACAATACATATATACAGTATGGGTCCCCCCAATAAATAGCCTAGCCATGCAGTCTGTCCAGGTGCTGGCCATGGATCCTTTGTCTCCCCAGTTGCTGGCACCTGGAAGTACAAGCCCCCAGTGCCCGCAGACCCTCTCCAGTTGCTGGTACTCAGACCCCCTCACTCACAGATAAGCTTGCATCCCCGCCCCAGCACACTGTGGATCCATCCCCCAGTACCTGGTCTGAGACACTTAGCTTACTCCAGTAACTGGCCCTGGACCCCATGGACTTCCAGGCATCTCACACACCCACATATGCATTGTGGATCCCCCACTAATTGGTGCACAGGTCCCCTCGACCCTGCACATATGAACACATATGTAGACCCAAACACTATGGATCCCTCCCGTAACTGCCTTGCATACTCAGACTAACTGGTAACTAGCCCTCGGATGTTCTCATCTCCATCTGTCACAGGCACATACACATGTGCAAATAAGTTTTTCAATCAACCACCCAACCACACGGTCTTCCTGGTAGCTGGGTTGGATCTCCTGTGCCCTCCAGTAGCCAAATCACAGTCTCTTATGATCCAACCTAGACTGACTGCATCTTCAACACCTGGCTTCCCAGCAACTAATCACTAGCTAGCCAGGCTTGACAGTGGCTAGTGATCACAC